AGATTGATTAATGATTCTCAACACGGTTTTTTACAAAGGGCGTTTCCTGTCTTACGAATTTACTAACTTTTTTCACTAAGGTGTTTGAGGAGGTGGATCATGTAATGAATATGTATTGCGTTATGGACTTCAGTAAGGCTTTCAAATAGAGTTCCACACCAGAGGCTATTGAGGAAATTTAGGGCACATGGAATGGAAGAAAAATTTTTTTCCTGGGTAGAGGCATGGCTGACGAATAGACAGCAGAAAGTTTGCATAAATGGGGAGAAATCAGAATGGTGGCACGTCACAAGGGGTGTTTCCTCAGGGGTCAGTGTTGGGCCCGTTTTTTGTTTTACAATTTACATAAAAGACAATAGATGAGGGAATAAATAGCGACATAAGCAAATTTGCTGATGACACCAAAATAGGCCGTCCAATTCATTCTAATGAGGACACTAGAGCACTCCAGGATGATTTGAATAGACTGATGCAATGGTCGGAGAAGTGGCAGATGCAGTTTAATATTGACAAATGCAAAGTTCTAAATGTTGGACAGGTAAATAACCATGCCACATTTAAAACTAAATAATGTAGATCTTAATACTACTGATTGCGAAAAGAATTTAGGAGTTCTGGTTAGCAGTAATCTAAAACCAAGGCAACAGTGCATTATTTATTTTTTTATTATCACACTGGCCGATTCCCACCAAGGCTGGGTGGCCCGAAAAAGAAAAACTTTCACCATCATTCACTCCATCACTGTCTTGCCAGAAGGGTGCTTTACACTACAGTTTTTAAACTGCAACATTAACACCCCTCCTTCAGAGTGCAGGCACTGTACTTCCCATCTCCAGGACTCAAGGCCGGCCTGCCGGTTTCCCTGAATCCCTTCATAAATGTTACTTTGCTCACACTCCAACAGCACGTCAAGTATTAAAAACCATTTGTCTCCATTCACTCCTATCAAACACGCTCACGCATGCCCGCTGGAAGTCCAAGCCCCTCGCACACAAAACCTCCTTTACCCCCTCCCTCCAACCTTTCCTAGGCCGACCCCTACCCCGCCTTCCTTCCACTACAGATACACTCTTGAAGTCACCTTGTTTCGCTCCATTCTCTCTACATGTCCGAACCACCTCAACAACCCTTCCTCAGCCCTCTGGACAACAGTTTTGGTAATCCCGCACCTCCTCCTAACTTTCAAACTTCGAATTCTCTGCATTATATTCACACCACACATTGCCCTCAGACATGACATCTCCACTGCCTCCAGCCTTCTCCTCGCTGCAACATTCATCTCCCATATAAGAGCGTTGGTAAAACTATACTCTCATACATTCCCCTCTTTGCCTCCAAGGACAAAGTTCTTTGTCTCCACAGACTCCTAAGTGCACCACTCACCCTTTTCCCCTCATCAATTCTATGATTCACCTCATCTTTCATAGACCCATCCGCTGACACGTCCACTCCCAAATATCTGAATACATTCACCTCCTCCATACTCTCTCCCTCCAATCTGATATCTTATCTTTCATCACCTAATCTTTTTGTTATCCTCATAACCTTACTCTTTCCTGTATTCACTTTTAATTTTCTTCTTTTGTACACCCTACCAAATTCATCCACCAATCTCTGCAACTTCTCTTCAGAATCTCCCAAGAGCACAGTGTCATCAGCAAAGAGCAACTGTGACAACTCCCACTTTATGTGTGATTCTTTGTCTTTTAACTCCACGCCTTTTGCCAAGTCCCTCGCATTTACTTCTCTTACAACCCCATCTATAAATATATTAAACAACTACGGTGACATCACACATCCTTGTCTAAGGCCTACTTTTACTGGGAAATAATTTCCCTCTTTCCAACATACTCTAACTTGAGCCTCACTATCCTCGTAAAAACTCTTCACTGCTTTCAGTAACCTACCTCCTACACCATACACCTGCAACATCTGCCACATTGCCCCCCTATCCACCCTGTCATACGCCTTTTCCAAATCCATAAATGCCACAAAGACCTCTTTAGCCTTATCTAAATACTGTTCACTTATATGTTTCACTGCAAACACCTGGTCCACACACCCCCTACCTTTCCTAAAGCCTCCTTGTTCATCTGCTATCCTATTCTCCGTCTTACTCTTAATTCTTTCAATAATAACTCTACCATACACTTTACCAGGTATACTCAATAGACTTATCCCCCTATAATTTTTGCACTCTCTTTTGTCCCCTTTGCCTTTATACAATGGAACTATGCATGCTCTCTGCCAATCCCTAGGTACCTTACCCTCTTCCATACATTTATTAAATAATTGCACCAACCACTCCAAAACTATATCCCCACCTGCAGTGTTCGCAATAAAGCTAACAGAATTCTTGGCTTCATATCTAGAAGTATAAATAATGGAAGTCCTCAGGTTGTTCTTCAACTCTGTATATCCTTGGTTAGGCCTCATTTAGACTATGCTGCTCAGTTCTGGTCACCGTATTACAGAATGGATATAAATGCTCTGGAAAACGTACAGAGGAGGATGACAAAGATGATCCCATGTATCAGAAATCTTCCCTATTAGGATAGACTGAGGTCCCTGAATCTGCACTCTCTCGAAAGGCGTAGAATTAGGGGGGATATGATCGAGGTGTATAAATGGAAAACAGGAATAAATAAAGGGGATGTAAATAGTGTGCTGAAAATTTCCAGCCAAGACAGGACTCGCAGCAATGGTTTCAAGTTGGAAAAATTCAGATTCAGGAAGAATATAGGAAAGTACTGGTTTGGTAATAGAGTTGTGAATGAGTGGAACAAACTCCCGAGGCTAAAACGTTGTGTAGTTTTAAAAATAGGTTAGATAAATACATGAGTGGGTGTGGGTGGGTGTGAGTTGGACCTGACTAGCTTGTGCTGCTGGGTCTGGTACAGTGCTTCATCCTTGAGTGGGGATGACCAGGCTGGGTGGGTCATTGGGATAATCCGGGGAGTGGGTCATTGGTCTAATCCGGGGGACGACATGGACCTGCTCCGCATGGGTCAATAGGCCTGTTGCAGTGTTCCTTCTTTCTTATGTTCTTATGTTCTCACGACCTTTTTTTGGCACTGCCGAAGAAGCCTGGCTACAAGATTTTCATAAAGTTGGACATGCAATTCACAATTCTTAAAAAAAAACCTTACCCCGGCCGGGATTGAACCCGCGGTCAGAGAGTCTCAAAACTCCAGACCGTCGCGTTAGCCACTAGACCAGCTAGCCACAATAAGATTCGTCCAACTAGGTATATTTCTACACCATAGGAAGGTTAGCACAGGCACCACTGTGACCATGGGTTCAATCCCGGCCGGGGTATGGTTTGTTTGCAATCGTGTCATTACGATTTCGTGAGTCACAGTTCTTAAAGCTGATGCTATTGCCAATATATCACTCAAAATAGTGATATCTCTGGTGGCTGTGAATAATACTGTTCGGAGGCGTGTCGTAAGTTTATTTGGTGTTCTTATGCAGGCAGTGTGTCTAGGCAGCCCTGAGGGCCAGGCCCTGCCTGGAGAGGGAGGGAGGGGGAGGAGAGAAGCAACTGCTTACTCGTGTGCTGTCTGCTAGGATAGTGAGAGGGATGCAACTTGTCACACAGTAAGCTGAAGATAGGCCTATGGCCACCAAGCGGCAGCACAGGTCTACGGAGACAGCTCCCCAAGCGGTAGTCATGGGAAACAGGTATGGGGTATGCATACTCTTCTACACCAATCTCATTGGTGAGGTTAGATTATTTGAGTAGTTGGTGCCTCGGGATGGGTGCTTCATTTCCTGGAAGACGTGACGCACCCATCATAGGGTGCTTGCCTGACTGAGAACTCGGCATCCTCTTCGATATAAAAATCGGAATTATTTCCACTTTTGTCTAAATTTGATGGATTATGGATATGCATTGTGGAATATGAGAAATTCACTTTGGCAGTACTTTTCAGGACAGTAACAAGTTAAGTCATAGGGAACGAATGCCAATAAAAAAAAATGGACGGGGGACTCTAAAAGTTTGTGAAATCTTTGTTATAATCACCGTGGGTCATAGTGCTGGACCTGCTACAAGCCAGGACCAAAGGTTAGAGTCCTCGTCCATTCCTCCGTACATTAACCCCTCAAGGGAGGTTCCTTGTTGCTAGTGAGGGGCTCTTGATCTAAGGAACTGGACCCGTTCCTCGAGTCTGAATGTGTTCCATTTCTAAGGTGCTGTATGACTACTGCTATATAGCCCTTGTGGTTTAGCGCTTCTTTTTGATTATAATAATAATAATAATGTATGACTAAAATAAATAATTTTTATAAAATAAAAAGTACCGAACCGCGCTGAACGTTCTGAAGTGAAGGATAAAATGTATATTGTCAGTTTATGACTGCAAGAATACAGTGGATCGAGCCTTCACCTCTCATGAGGTGTGACCAACACTGGTTGAGAATCTTGTAAAAATGTTAGGCTCAAGGAGAAATTTGTGGAGTTTAAATACGCGTAACATGGCAAGGTTGTGAAGAGTACTGACGGGGCTCTTGATCCATGGAGTTAGATCTGTCCTACCTCGGATCAAATCTTACTACTTCCCATTTCCTAGATTTTTTTTTGGATAGTCTTTTTCATATCAATAAACTTTTTAATCGATGCTGAGTATTTAAACATGATAGTATTTATTTGTATTTAGTGATAGCCCTTGTGGCTTAGCGCTTCTTTTTGATTATAATAATATATTTAGTGTTTGTACTGTTTCCTCTTATTGTTAAATTTTATCCCTTTTTTAGTGTATGTAATTTTTATGGCTATAAGCTGTCAGTCCTCAATAAATGCCTAAACTAGTACCATTTCGTAGGTGTTTTTTGACCCCCTATGGATTTAACGATTCCCCTGGGAAGAACAAAGTCACAATACCGTGATTGGAACAGTGCACAAATAACCCTCACATAGGAGACAGAGACTTCTGACGACGTTTCCGTCCTGAAAATTTATTAGATGTATCGCCAGCTAATGTTGTATCCTCTTCCAGGAGACGGAGGATGCGTCAGGAGGAGCGAGGGAGTGGCAGAAGGAGGGTGAGGTACGTCAAGTGAGAGTAACGCGCTCGAGGGTCGTGATTACTCACCTGCTGCCTCTTCACGGGTACCAGATCACTGTCACAGCCTCCACTCCCTCCCTCACCAGTCTACCCTCTCCTCCACACCAAGCCATCACCCAGGAAGGGGGTTAGTACTCTACCTGCCTGCTTTCTACGAGTGCAGATTGTCCTGATTATAAGATATCTCGATTGTAAAATATCTTGATTGTAAGATATCTTGATTGTAAGTTGATGGTAAGGTATCCTGAGTGTTGACCATCGTCACTGCATGGTATCCTGAATGTAGAGCAATCTGATTGCAGTGTATCCTGATTACAGGGTATATTGATTGTAGGATATCCTGATGGGGCAGTTTCAGTCTTAACAGGTTCTCTGACAAGTATGCACACCTAAATAATGTATATTTGAGTTGATTTCCCCTATTCCTTTTATTACACATTAAGGACGGTTGGTTCTTAAGATTGAAGCTGCACCATTAATGGTGGTGAAAAGTTCTTGGTACGAAGATTTGTAGTCTTCTTCTTTCACGAATCACACCTGATTTCTTCTCAAGGTCTGAACGATTTTTTCCTGACTATTCTATTTGACAAGCCACTCCCAATGAAGATGATCCCAGCTTACTGTCGCTGCTCCCGAGTTAGGAATATGTTACTGCTTCACAAATGTGAAATCCGATTTTATTGAAATAGCTGTCAAATACTATAAGCGCTTAACGTTACTATTGAACCCAAACTCTTAGAATTCTCCCAGTTGAAAGATACTTTAAAGGAGTTCGCCCGTCTCATTATATATAGGTAACAAGGAAAATGTAATGTCACTATTATTTATTGTATGTACTCTGTTGATGGGGATATAAAGTGATTGAAGGAATACACTGTAAATTGGCAACCCATCCTCTTAAATTATATGCGACTTTCTCAGGTATATGATTTGCAGCAAATTTCTCGATTTAAGTGATTTACAGTAAGTTAGATTATCGCCTGTTAATAAAAATTAATTATAACTTAACGGCGGTAAAGGAAATATAAGATAAAGGCCTTAGAAAGTTCTTGATTAAGAACAGAAAAAGAGGATCAGTTATTCTCAGTAGAAAGATCTGTCAGAGTATCACTGTTTAAGATTCGTTTATCAATCACCATTTGACTTCCTTAGCAGCAGTAAAATATTGTCTTATTAAGAAGATGAGCAGCAACTGATGGCACAGTGCTTTTGGAAGATTTATGGTAGAGATTGTTAAAATTTGGAAGTGTGTTCATGTAAAAATGAAAATGAACTAAGGGAAAAGATCAGAATCTTGAGTATATACTCTGAAATATATTCACCTCTCGGTGTGTATATCCTTGCAAGTAGGTAAGTAATGCAAGTTTCCTTTGTAAGTCTGCATCTCAGAAGTACCTATATTACCAGTGTAGTGTGAATTATATATGGAATTACCAATGCAGTCAGAATTATGTCATATTACAAATGAAATTCCGTACAATATTTGGAAGCAAGTTTGTAAAAATTACATAGTTATAGTTATAGATTATAGATATTCTATAATTAAGATTGTAGAAAGTGACCTATAATCAGTGCACATAGGATTCCTACACATCCTTATGTGACTCCCTATAACTATACACCACTACAAGCGACTCCATATAACTGCACATCACTATAAGTTACCCCTATAACTAACATACACAGGCTTCCTACACATCATTATGAGTGACCCTTCTTGAGTCACTTTCGATATAGACTGTTCAACCCTAATTGACCTCCTGATCCAGTTCCCAGCGCACCTGTCAACGTCTCCTGGAACGCTGCCAGCCCTAAGGACGCTGTACTGGTGTGGGGTCGACCACTGCACATCAACGGTCAACTCCTCTACTATCTGATCACTTATTCCCATGACCAACTGGAGTGGAAGAACCAGACAGTGGATCACCACCACACTGTTGCAAAGGTTAGCTCTCCAGGCTCTGGCATAGTCAGATTACAAGTAGCATAGATTTGAGTCTTGCAACTGCTTTATTTCTGTTGATTCTTGCTTCTCCGCTTGGTATTTTTGGTTATCCTGAGCTGTCAGTTCCCCTGTTTTCTAATATGTTATTTTCCCACTACATTCTACCTTGTCCATAATTACTATCCCATTTGCTTTGTCTGCTTTCGTAAGGTGAAGTCCAGGATCTTTCCTTAATTCATGGTATAACTTAACAAATCTTTGGTGACAGTTGTGTTGGAGAGATCTGAGCACAGATCTGTCCTCAAAGATTTGTTAAGTTATACCATGAATTAAGGAAAGATCCTGGACTTCACCTTACGAAAGCAGACAAAGCAAATGCGATAGTAATTATAAACAAAGTAGATTATAGTGGAAAAATAAATGAGATATTAGGAGACAAGGAAACTCACGCGCCTCTTAAATCTCCGGGAGCATTGGGGGAGGGCAGGAAAGGCTGAAGCACCCATATAATCTCCATTAATCCCCAGATAAAAATAGTTGTTTAAATAATGATAATAGTAGTATTAATTATTAACGTAACTTCAAAACAAGTTTCATCCGTCCCTCGTCCAACCAGACTACGTCCCCCAGCACTGTCCTCCACGTCACCCTCAAGGGAGGTTCCCTGACTCTGGCTAGGGGCTCTTGATCTAGGGAATTGGATCTGTGCTCCGGTTCCCTGAACTGAGCCTGAATACCTTCCATCCCTCCACATGCGCTGTATAATCCTACGGGTTTAGCGCTTCCCTGTGATTATAATAATAATAATGTTCTCGACGTACGACATAATCCCCATTATATATTAGGATTTTTCTTGTATTTCACCACTTGTTCATAGTCCACTTGCAGCGCTGCATGACCCTTGTGGGTTTACCGCTTAGTTATGATTATAATAATAATACATAGTCTAGTAAAACTGTGGGTTAACCTATAAGTAACCGTGATGGAATTTCTCTCAGCCAATTATTACTTAAAAAAAAAAAGGTACGTAAATCAATATGGCCGCCTCACTAAGAATAGGTTCCACGTTTTATCTTCTACTCAATTTAACATTACAAACACGCGAATTTTGCCCGTTATAAAAAATTTCCCGATTGAAATTGCCTTTCCAGCGAGGTATAAAAGATCACTGCTGGATAAATTTTTCACAAATTATTTTTTTTTTTACGTAATTTTGAACAAGTTTATCCATGTTAACTATTTTTCTTGTAATGTGTTAAATGGTATTGTCTACACAAAAACTCTTTAAATAAAATATTTTGCTACGGTAATGTTACCAATGTGCCATAAAACCTCACTCTAACGTAATTAAAGTTACACAGTAAAAGTTCCCGGTAGGTAAATATTGTTAAAAACACTTATTATATTTTCGAAGTAAGTTACGTCTTTATAATACTCCAGATAACATTTTGTCTTTATTATTGCTTCTGACGGTAATAAAAATGCTAACAAATTTAAAAATTGGATTTTTATATTAACTACAGAGGTTAGGTTAGGTAAGGTTCGTCGGGAAACAGGATAAATGTCTCCTGACATGGGTCTTAGTCATTTGATAACCCGCCATTGGAGCTTTTGGTCATCTGGCCGAGGCCTTCCACTGGCTTACCGGTCCACCTCTTTAAAAATTATAGTCAGCCATAATCATTCAACTTATTAACATATTAACTGCATTTTAGTACAAAATCAAGGCTTTATTTATCTCTGGTGAACTGCAATAACTGACACCACAGTAGTCTGTACATGCGCTTGTGCACCATTGTCTGCTTCTCAAATGTACATTGCAGTGTTGCACATTGTCTTTTGGTGCACCTACGTTTAGTGAATTCCAGCAAATATTCAAGGAGCCACTGCTTTACACATTTCTGTCAGTTCCAGCTTATCTTGCCGAAGTTCCCAATTCCCATTTGAATGGGGTCTAATTCTGCGCTTGAACTGGACAGAAATTGGCATTAGAACCACAGTGGTTCAAGGCAAACATTACACCTTTGGTCCTCCATGCACCTTTGTACGCCTTATGACAGTCTGAAAGAAAATTATAAGTATTTTATCATATTTATGGAAAAACGACAAATTGTTCACAGACTGAATCCCATTATTTGGTTCCCATACCCCCAAGGGGTATGAATATCCCCGGTTGAGACCCCTTGTGTTAATCTGTATTTTCTATACTTTTATACTTTTATTTATTTATTTATTAATTTGAACCTGATACAGAGAAGTACAAGGAATACAATTTTTTAAAGTGCAGCATGCCAAAGCCCCTTGTATGCAGAGCATTATGGGCAGCTTAAAATTAACTTAAGATTAACTAAGCAATGATATATTCAGTGGTACAAAAATTATTGTAAAACAGATAATAATTTAGTACAAATGAGTATTACAAAGACAGGTCATATGGTCATTACTGTGTTGCTGTGTGATCAGTAGAATGGAGTATTATGTTAGGTAATGAAGTTAAATAGTAACAAAGTTTGATTGGGTCACAGGTCTTCAGCAGTAACGTGAAACGCCGATAGTTAACGTTCTTTACATGTTGTTTTGATTCTCAATACATATTTTTTCTCAGTCAAAGAAGACACCACATCATCTTCGTGGATAACAGTTTCACAAAGAATATGTTTCTGTCATCCATTGTAGATCACAAGATCATTGACTTGCAACGTAGAAATAAAATTGATGTTGGTGCACTAAACAGGTCCACAACAAAAAATTTCATCCCATTTAACACATTACAAGTTAAAATAGTCATTAATTAGACAAGCTTGTTTAAAGTGACGTAAAAAGAATTAAATCGTGTAGATGGGTGGTTGTAACTCCTATCTAGCATGGTCGTGTAGGACTACCGTATGCTCTTATGATTTTTCGTATGATTTTTCGTCCACAGATACAAGACCTGGTATCAAACACCAACTACACTCTGAGAATAGCAGGCGTGACGGGCGGAGGTGTCGGTAGCTTAACTACAGTGTTTGTGTACATCAGAGCCACGCTGGAGGGAGAGCCTAAGATGCATACTGAGTGTGAGTTGACATGGTGAACATTTAGTGGTACGTCAGTTTCCCTGATGTTATGAGACAGGGAAACTCTCGCGCCTCTTAATAGTTAATCATACTGTATATGAAGTGCTGAATCATGTGCCGTCTTCAGTGCAATGAGCGAGTGTTGGATGCTTGAGGCTTCCTTCTCTTTGTGTTAGTCATTGGCAAAATCCAATTTAATCACGGTTTTATGGTCTGTCAAAATAGTTTTGTTTGGGAATTTGCCTTGCCTAAGTTGAGTTGGTTTCAGCATTGTGGCTGCGTTGTGACTAACAGTCCTCTCTGCAGCCCTAGCAACAAGACGTCAGGAAAAATAAAAAAAGCACAATACAGTGATTAGAACAATATACAAATATTTAACCCGCACGTGGGAGACTGAATCTTATGAAGTTTTTCAGTATGGCTTGGCCTTAAACTGTCACAAAAAAGTGCAAAGGGAAAGGGGAGCAAATATATATACTGGGGGCGGTGACAAAACAGAGAAAAGGTAATATGTTACCACAACAGTATGTTTATTCCCCTTCATTTTCCTTGGGCGAAGAAAGCTGCTCTAAAAAAAGGGGGGAGTAATGTAGGGGAACACTACCAGCCAGAATACAGGGCAAATCTGGTGAACCTCACAAAAGTTCTTTGAAAATCCCCAAAGTAGATGGGAGCATTTGTTTTATAATATAATCTTTATTTCTAAAAGAATGTAAAAGGGAATAAGCTAGCGACTCAATACATAAACTATTAGAAAGCCGTTTTATGAGACTTTTTGGGCATATTGGGTAAATTTTACCCAGGTGCGACCCCACCAGCCCACTAACCCTGGGTCCCCATTTTACGATGGATAACATGGACGCAGGGGGCCTTATGAAAACACGCCCTAATGTTTTCCGTCGCACCGGGATTCGAAACTCCGGACCTCAGTGTGTGAGCTGAGTACCTACACCTGGTAGGAATGACAGATTTTACACGTCTGCATCTTAAAGGGTTAAGTTTTCTTCACTTTGACTGTGAGGGGGTCAGTGTGTGTACAAGCTCGGGAGTTGGGGGGTATTTGCATGTAGGCTCGTGCTGCGGGGGATCCCGGGGGAAATGTTATCTTCCCTGGAAATTACGTAGTGCTCCAGAGTATTTTTGTCTCTATTTTCTCGTAATTTTTGGGTCGATTCTTGACGCTTTTTGGTGTTTTTTGTTTTCATTTCCATGGGGGGTTTTTCGTTACGCTAAAGGTGGGATCTCATCTCTAGGGAAAAGCATTGTTTTTAACCTTGTAAAAGACATTTTATGGGTTTTTCCTCTGGGGGGGAAAGGATAATAGTCATTGCTAACGTAGGAAATTTGCCGTGATTGTGGGGCATCATGAACTTTTTTTCAAACAGCGAGTTTAGCCGCAGCTTTCATGTTTTCCAGATTTTAATTCGTAAGAGTTGTAAAGTTTGTATTAAAAATGAGGTGTGGGAGAGTGCCATGTCCTGTGGGAGGAGGTGGTGACCCCCGTAACCCATGAAAAAGCAGTGTCTACTACTGAGGCTCGCAGGACCCTTTCTAGCCCCTTTTACAGTGTCATGGAATTACGCTTGCTCTCATGGTACTTGCCTTGACAAAAAAGAAAAAAGACTGCAAATCACCGAAAAAAAATCGTAAGATTCACCCCCGGGCTGGGCCAAGAGAATGGGGGCCAGGATGAATTAAGCATTGGATATGTGAATGTTGAAGCAGAGTAAAACAATGAAGCTAAATCTTTTTATGAAATTGTCACAAACAGGGCCGAAAATCTTGTGCCCAAATTTTGTCAAGGGTTTGGGAACCAAAGCAATCATAGTACTAGGGGAGAGAACACAAAATTTGTGTACCCACAGTCATTGGCCAGGCTTCAAACACCTTCTATTGTACAGCAATAAAGGAATGGAACAGACTACCCTCACATGTCAAAGCCAGTCTTAGCATGAACCAGTTCAAGAAGAGTGCCAAAAGGTGTCTGATGAATGTAGCTACAGAAAGGGAGGGGAATGATTTTCTATTTTTTAGCTAACATACGTGTAAATTTTCCCTTTTTCCTAGTAATGACCCTCGTATTGTAGATAGTCTTAATGACCCTCGTGAAGTAGATAGTCTTTTTAGTATGATAATAAGATGTTATCGTCATAACAGAATAATAAGAAAATATTATAACCTTTATATAATAATAAGGTAAAAGGACCCCAATGGAAATAAGTCACTCTGTCTGACTTTTTTGTGTTATCCCAGGTTCTCTACACATATGCTGCTATGTATGATAATCTATGTAACTGTATTTGTGTATACCTGAATAAACTGACTAATGTGTGGGTCACTGACGATTCAATCTGAGGGTTGAGAACGTATTTTCTCTGGCACATCGTGCAAAGGCCTTGTGGCAGTGACATACTTGCATAAACACACACGCACACGCGCGTGCGCGCACTCACACGTACGTACGTACGTACATTCAAAATTTATATGCAAAACAACCACAGGGGGATTTAAATGATAGCTCCAGGCCACACCTTTCCTCAGAATAAATCTGCTGGGACGTCTTATTCATTTCCGCAACATTGCTATCATTCAACTCTCCCTGTGGTTGTTTTGCATCTCTCATTATATATATATATATATATATATATATATATATATATATATATATATATATATATATATATATATATATATTATATATATATATATATATATATCATGTATATATTAAATATATAAATTCATAGGAAGTTCATTTTCTAAGGGATAACTGATGCAATAAATAATATTTGACCAATGGCACTAAGAAACAGCATCCAGTTACTCTAGTGATACATTGCATTATTGACTTATGATTAATGCATGTTGTTGTTTGTTGATAGTGGTGGTGATCAGCGTGGTGTGTCTGCTAGCAGCAGCAACGTGCGTAGTGGTCGGGCTCCTCTGCCTTAGAATGGTCCGTCACAGACAAATTACTACATCTGCTGCCTTTCAGGTACGTTATTCTCTATAGTACTGTTTTAGGTACATTGCTTCTCTGTACATTGCTGCCTTCAAGGTACGTTTCCCTCCTGCATATTAGCGCTGCTACTGCCCTTCTTCCGTGCTTATGGCATTTAAACCATGATGGGATTGTTGCATTTAAAAAAATGAGTGATTTTTTTAATATATGCACCGAATGTATGCTTAGCCTTGAGTACTAAGTAACAGTAGTGTCTACAGAGTACCAGGTAAGCTAATCTTGCATTCCTTCAGCAACAGAGCAAAAATTAGCACTGTTTTTAATTATGAGCAACTTGAGGAATTCTGTTTTGCTTGCCTTATATATATGACGCGATAGGAAAATACGAAAAATGAACGGAATTGACGTCCCATAACCTTTCAGGGTAATGGGACATGTCGCATGGTATACGCGAATGGGGTGAAGGCCTTAGGCAGGGATCATGACACGGAACTTAATGATTACAAGCCTATGTTAGCTTCCCTGCCATCTACCTCTCATAGTCGGCACCTTGACACCAAGGTGAGGTTTATTCAAATATGCTATTGAATGAGTCGAGCCTTATGGACTTAGCGCTTAATTACGATAATAATAATATTGAATGAGTCTGCATGTTTCTTTTCACATACAGAGCGCTGAGAGCGCATGTTTTTTCTTGTTCTCTGTTTGCTCTAGTATAAAAATATAACAAGTCTAAGTGAATATTAATAAAGTTATTTAGATCAGAGGTATATAACTTGATTTAGCACTTTTCATTGGATTAAAGTATAATGATTGTTATCAATGTTTCAGGGAGGACCTTGGACGCGAGATGATGCAATTGTAGCTAATTGTCTTCTTGATGGAAATGCCGTTAGAATGAATGAGGTAAATAACCGCCAGTGAGCACAATTGTTCTCTTTTTTTTTATTATTACCGGGGTGCCTGTAGGGACAACGGAGAAATTTTGGAGACTTTTCAATATTTCCCATTTGATTTTGAAATTGTGGGATATTTTAACATTGAATATTTGTCTTAGTGCATGTTTGAATATTTTTCATCTTATGGATCAGTTTGTATGTGTTCCCCTACCTATTTTAATTCACCTATTTGTGGTTACATAGATTAAATTTTAGCTTCTTTTCTTGCTTCTTAACTGGCCGTTTTCCGGGTTTACAACCTCCTAGCCTCATCTCGCTTCCTGACTATTCTCAAGTCAAAAAAAAAATATATATATATCCCTGGGACTGTTTTTAAATTTCACCTGTGCATTTATGTACCAGTCTTAACGCTTTTCAAACAGTTTATGCTTTTTTAAATTCTTTTAAATATTTTGTCATTAGCAAATCATTCCTGTTATTCTCTATCCCCGATGTCATTGCCTTCATGTGGTTTATTCTTTCCTTGTAGTTCCTTCATTTATCACATTTCTATAAGTACCAGAAACTTTATTGATTACAATACCAATTATTATAGAATTCCATGTCTTACACTTGGTCATTCTTACACCTCTCCTCCGATAATTACTCTCTCGTCATTTCATATTTCGTTATCCACTGTACTGAATTCATTGTTAGTACATGCTACTCAAGTTTTTTTGTGTGTTAGTGTCAAATGCCTCTTTACAGACCAATAAAATGTGGTTCAATGCTCCATCTCTTTTGTCTCCCTTCTGTTATTTTGTTATAGAACTCGGGTAGATTCGTGAAACGGGATTTAATACTTTCAAATTTATACTGATGGTAGTTTGAGAGTCTGTCCCTCTGCGTACCTCACCACACTTTTTTCTGATAATCTTTTCCATTGTTGTACACAGTATATGCTTGTTATATTGGCCTGTAGTTTAATGCTTCCTGTTTCTCTTAAATGGCTACATTTGTTGTCTTTCAGATGTCTGGCAGTTGACACAAATTCATTGACTTATAGATTTTAGTTAACATTTTACCAAGTCACTTTGTGAGTTATCCAACTCTCTCTCTCTCTCTTTCTCTCTCTCTCTCTCTCTCTCTCTCTCTCTCTCTCTCTCTCTCTCTCTCTCTCTCTCTCTCTCTCTCTCTCTCTCTCTCTCTCTCTCTCTCTCTCCGACGCTTCTTATCCTAGGATATAACTGTAAAGTGTACCTTCATGGTTTATCTGGTGTCGAAAACCTGTCACCACTTCTAATGATGTGATCTTTAACTTCTTAGGGATGTGCACCACTAGACCACCAAAGGATCTTACGTGATCTAAAGCTTTACTTCTCAGGTCATCAAATAACTTGAGATTTACAGCAGGAAAAATTTCCACATTTCTACTGACAAAAAAAATATATAAATTTTCGTCACTCATTGCCCTCTCGTGCATGTGTGTCTTGTATGGTGTTCTCTTCCTCTTGCTGACTTTGGTGTTTCTCTGTTTACAAAATTCTTCAAGTTTTTTTTTTCAGCTTGTCACATGCATCATTGTCATTCTTTTTGAGCTTTTGTTTTGTCTAATAAAGTGGTTTTCGTCCATTTTTTCTTCAGATGTGACTAAGCAGTCTTGGCTTTTGCTGTTATGTCCTTAAATTAACCCTCTTGACACTGGTTAACTTTAACGCGGTAATGAGATTTCAGTGACCTGAAAAAAAAACAGCAAGCCGCTTTTCCCTCTCCTTATTTTATTTGGCTTTTATTGCTAGGATTTTCCCCGTTTTATAAATTTTGTTCTGGTTATTATGAATGGGGTTATTTCTCTTCTTATTCTCTCCCCATTTGAAATGTTGAAGTGTTTCGTATTACTCAGAGGATCGAACCATCAGTTGGACCTCCTGTTGGCACATAGTGGTCCATCCAGTGGCTATAGAACTGACTGTCACTTGTAGATTCAGGTGCAGTCACTGAATGCGCATTTTTTGCTGATTTATTCTCGTCCATTTCTAGATTAATGCTTCTAACATCTCTGGTACTCAGTCTAAATAGGTAATATTGCTGAGCCTTGCTCGGAGCAAGACATCCTGGGGCTATGTCCTGGGTAGAGTAAGGGAGTGGTACCAATCCAAAAGAAACTTTGTGACAGGGCAGTGGCTTCTTTTATTAGTCAACCAGCAGTCTACAGTCATCGCTAAACGCTACAATGAAATTAATGTTGCTAATGAATCAAAGACCAATCTAAAAGGTTTTTTTTTCAAGTGTATAAGACAAAGATCAGAGAGAAAAAGTAGGACCCAGTGGTCAAAAAAAATAAAATGGTTTGCTAATCTCGCGGGGAACAGGGATGCGGAGTTCTATTAGCATCTAGGCCATGTTTGCATCCCTGGAAATGAACCGGCGATTGCCAAAGAAAAGGCTCATAACAAGCTTGCTCTGTAGCAGACTTTTTCCTCTTGGTGATTTCATGAGTCATATACACAGATATGTTCTTGGGAAGTGGCAGGTACGGTGGGTCCAATAAACGAGAAGCAAGAAATACAGGGTTTTGCTGGACGTGGATGTTTAACCCTCCTTCATTAACCGGATTAGTCACCTAAAGAAAAATTTACAGGTGCTCCAAAGCCTTTGTACATAGCCTGTGGTTTGCAGCTCACCATGTGCTATTCGCGAGAATTTTCCCTGGGAAAAGAGGCATTGCAGGTATTTTGAGCATTGCGCGTTTCATTGTAGCTATGAAAGGCCTTGAATGTAAACAATCTATAAGTGTACTGCTTGTCGTCCACTCCCGGGATGGCCTTTCACCAGCTTCAGGTGGCAGTGTACATCACGGAGTGGGCTGCTGCCTTGGCCGCTGGTTACTCCCCTCGGAAGATAGAATTTTCGCATTTCTGGCTGTGTTATTTTCCTATGAACAACAGATGACATTAATGGAATGATCTTCGAACGTAGTCTGATGTAGGCCTCTTAATAAACTGAAATGTCATAATGTACTGGTGCTAGACTTTAAGGTGCTCTCCCACTGTATCTGAGAGATGAATCGACGTATTATGTTCAGTCTGCGTGAGAGAGTATGTTTGGCCGAAGTTTGGCTCCCTTATCTACTCCTAGGCAAGTTCTTCCCCTGCTGCCCTTGCTAAGAACTGCGCATCACCTTGGGATACAACTTTGCACAGGTGCATTCCATACTTCTTGTGTTAAGAGCCTTCATGTTGAGTGCGTTGAGCTGGTCCCTATATCTCTGCCCAAGGAGCTAGACTGTTTTGGGTTTGTTGAACACTATCTTATGCTGAGATTCTCATCGAGGAGAAAGGGAGAGGGAGAACCCTTTTCTTATCGTGTGAGGCTTCCTGTACTGTTTAGTACACGGATGCGGGATACTTTCCTGGATTGTGGCGTCGATGTGCCTGCGGTCAGAAAGCTTGGCTTCTCTTACTGCCCTTCTTAGACAGCGTCTAAGGTATGATTTTTGTAGGCAATGGATGGGAACCTCTAAGTGCGGAGCCTAAATGACGACCTTCGCTAATTTCTTGGAGCATGATTTTATTCATATTTGATAGGTATTTGCGTCAAAGAGTGAGATACAGTTGTTGTAGTATTACTGGAGAAGACTCGTCCTGTGTAATGAATGGGCAGAGTTCCAGGTGAGAGCTGCTATGAGCTTGATTAAAGGCAGACTTCTTGTATTAGTGACTTCATGGACCATATACATTGATATATCCTTTTGAAGCAACGGGCTTGATGGGACATTCAGATCAAAATTCGTGGGTATTTGGCCTTACTCCTTCAAGGAGAAGTCACTTGAGGTGAATCTCGATTATGAACTGTGCACTCCTCAGTCACTCTTTTGCAGGTGTTTCTAATCCCTCTGTGTAGCTTGTGGTGTGACTGTGGTGTTAAGTTGACTCTCCTTGCCAGTCCCTGGGATCAAACATCACTTTTTTGCCTTTTTCTTATTTTTATTGTAGTCTGTTTGATGTTGGATTTTCACATCTCTGCTGTTATTACCTTAAGCCTTCTAGTCTTGAATGTGCCTACCATATAATTATTGAACTCTCCTCTTTCTCTTATCTTCTCAAAATTCCATTGATTTGTAATTAGCAATGCTACTTATTCCCCTCTCCTATTTCCTCTTCAATATTTGATATACTAGTCTATAAAATGTATTTAGTACATCAGCATAGCCTATGTGACAGCTATGATGTTGGGGCTTTCTTTGCTATATATATTCTGTCAGTTCTCACTCGTGTTTTATATTTTGTTTGGGCTTTGGTTTGTAATTTCTTGCCCATATGCCCACAGAGTTGGTATTGGGGTTAGTGTGGTCATAGTTAAAAGTAAAGAACTTGGGCGTCACTTTTATGTTTGTAGGAGAAAAGGGTTTGTTGGTTAAGAGGATGTACTTGGTATTGAATTATTGTTCTTGAAGAAGTAAAGGGAAGGGAAGATGGGTCTGAGTCTGGCTTTCTGAAAGGGTGAGCCGAAAGAGATTTCTGGAGACTGGGTGTTTCCTCCTTTTATCTCCTCCCCCCCCATCCTTTTTTTTTACCTTCTCTTCTCCTATTTGTGCTTGATGTTCAACATGTCTCGTATATCGTTCTCTCTTTCTTTACATTCTGTCCCAATCCAGGTCTCTACCCGTACTTCTCAACAATTCTGTCTCAAGATTTTGTGTTGTACTACTTTTGACCAGAGGGTAAATTTGATTGGGCACTGTTTACTCCAGTGATACTTCCCGAACTTCTAAATGTTTACCATCTACTGTTTTCTTCTCTCCTCCTGTAACTCGATATTCAGCATAATCTACTGTTCATCCTCGTTTCATTTCACTCTTCCTGTCCATGTATCATCAGTGACGTTCTTTCTCTCTCTCATTGTCTTTTCCACCAGATTGCCTTGTCACCAGCACCCTTGCTGTGTCTCTAATCATCTCCTGTACCTCCCGGTCTCCTGTGAGTACGTATGTGTGTGTGTTTGGAATGGGTCATGCTCACAATTCCTGAATGCGACGCCTACGTTTGGAAGCTTAGCCTGTACTGCTTACATTATTCAGTCTATATATGCTTCAGCGGGCAAGTTTAGCGTAATGAATATTCCAAGGTCATTTTTTCTTTTATCTGCTTCTGTGAGCTTGTATTTTTGCTTCCACTCCCAAGCTGATGCTCTGTTTTTGGCGTCTTTTGACCCCTGCCCTCTACCCCTCTCCCTCTCCTTTTTTCCCTTCCCCTAAGTCTCCCAGCATCATAACTGCGTGTGCCTGTGTAATTTATCACTTAATTACATTTTTGTAGCTACATAAACAAGAGCAATGATCTGGGTTGTGTCTTGTCTTCAGTAATTAATCGCAATTTTTTTTGAACCCAATAAAATAATCTTGCTCAATTCGTTCCATTGTTCGAAATCTTTGTGACAAAAACTTAACAGTATCTCTTTGGATTTACATTTATTTTTTCAAATTTACAACTGTGGCTTTATCGTCTGTTAAACATGTTAAGATTATTTTAAGGTTCATTAGTAAAAACCAGCAAATGACTTAAGAAATCGTAATGACACGATTGCAAATAAACCATACCCCCGGCCGGGGGTATGGTTTATTTGCAATCGTGTCATTACGATTTCTTAAGTCATGTTTACGGCAGTGAAGGGACTTGAGCTAGAGTTCGTCACGGCCACGCTAGCTGGAGATTCGTCTGTAAAAACTTGCATTTGTGGTCACAGAGGTGCCTGTGCTAACTTTCCTATGGTGTAGAAATATACCTAGTTGGATGAATCTTATTGTGGCTAGCTGGTCTAGTGGCTAGCGCGACGGGCTGGAGTTTTGAGACTCTATGACCGCGGGTTCAATCCCGGCCGGGGGTATGGTAAACCAGCAAATGTTGAGGTGATAATTCTAGTCAAGGTACAGGGAAACCTTCCTTTATTCTTTAATATTCTTATTTTCATAAGGAAAACACCAATCCTGGAGGAGGTTATTAAGCATCTATGAAATAGGTTTAATTAGGAGTGATAAAATTAAGAGAAGGGTGACTAATTTCTTGGATCTAGAGCCCTTTACCAACACAGGGACGCCCCTCCCTCTCGAAGAGTGTATACAAAGCATACAAAGTCTAGTGGTCCTTCATACCAAGAACGTCGAGATATTCACTGTCTCTGCTACCTGGTTAGCTTTCAAGATCATCTTTACCCCACGACTTATAACCAAAGATGATAAAGCTGATTCAGTCATCGTCTTTATCTTTTCATGTTGGCCTCCAGATGCGAGTTACTACTCTCACTGTGCCCCGTTTCAGTTCACTCTGCTCATCTCTTCACCGATGTTTAGTTTGTCCCTCCTTTTTATTGCCAAAGTTTTCTATAACTGTTATGGACATACACTTCCTCTTCTTTGATCACTACAAGTTACTCACATGCTAAGATTGTGTGCAATGATGGTTCTGAGATTAAGACACATGTGCAACATCTGGGTATCTTAATTGTAGACGTTTCGCCATCCAGTGGCTTTATCAATACAAATTCTAGGACATAACTTGAAGACAGTAGAACTATGTACAGAAGATGAGGTAATCAGTCCCTCAACCTAGGAGTAGGTGCGAACAGCACCATAGTCGTGGATGTTGCACATGTGTCTTAATCTCATCTTGTCGGTATTATATACCATTCGTACACAATGATGGTTCTCAATCTTCTGATGGTGTATGATAGCTATTTTTCCTGAGAGTTTTATTCACAGACGCTAACCCGGTCTGGCTAGTATTTTCTCGGCAAAGTTAATTGCACTTTTTGCAGCCATCATCTACATAGGTTCTCTTCTTTAACTGTAGTTTTCATTCCTCGCATCCCATCGTCTTTCACATTCAACGCTGGCTGTGTTGCCTCTTTAGCAAGCATAAAGGCAGTCTTTTTCAGCCCCTGGTCATTCTTGTTCCTGGAGCAATGAACTTGCAGATACTATTGCGTGTGCCTCAGTCTACGACCTGTCCATATCACAAAAATGTGCATTATTCAGACTACCTGTTTTGTCTAATAGAATGTGAATCAATGTCAGCGTTACTGGTCCACACTGAAGAACCAGTTTATTTTATCAAACCACAAATAGTCGGCATTTTACCATCGCTGTCGCGTTTGGGAACAACTCTTGCATGACTGCGAATTGGCCACACAAGACTCTTAGATCTATCACATGGAGAAGCTCCTGACACCACTGTGGAACTTGTGAGGTCCCGTTTAAGAGTTAAACACTTCTTGATTATATCATTTTTCATTGGCTACAAGGAATTCATTGCAGGTCTGTTATCACCGTCTAGGCGATCTCTCCTTATTTTCTCTCCTTCAAAAAAAAAAAAAAAAAAAAAAAAAACTATCAGTGATGACGCTCTCTGATATTCTAACTCAGACTAATTTTCCATTTAAGTTCCTAAACTTATTTGTCACAGCGCTCGCCTATACCGATAGCTTCCCTCAGCCTTGTAGTGCTTTATGACCCATACCAGTTGGGCATGGTTTGCAAAAATACTACTGCTGCTACTAGTGCTGCTGCTGCTGCTGCTGCTACTACTACTACTACTGTTACTACTACTACTACTACTACTACTACTACTACTACTAATAATAATAATAATAATAATAATAATAATAATAAATAGTTAATCATTTCTGCAGAACTTTTATTTTTCCATTCTCTCAAAGCCTCATTATGTCCTTTGCCTTTTTTCAATATTTGATATATTATCCTTTTTTTTGTAATCTCTGCTTTCCCTTCGGTATTGACTTCATCTGTCGCATTGAAAATTTCTTGGCTTCCAGATATTCAAAGTTACTGTTTCTTTCTTTAATTTTTCTATAACTGTCTTTTCTTACCTAATTCTCTTCCAAATTCATTTTCTCTTTCCATTCATATATTTTCTCTAGGACCTGGTCCACATTGTTGGGACCTGGTCCACATTGTTGGGACCTGGTCCACATTGTTGGGACCTGGTCTACATTGTTGGGACCTGGTCTACATTGTTGGGACCTGGTCTACATTGTTGGGACCTGGTCCACATTGTTGGGACCTGGTCCACATTGTTGGGACCTGGTCCACATTGTTGGGACCTGGTCCACATTGTTGGGACCTGGTCCACATTGTTGGGACCTGGTCCACATTGTTGGGACCTGGTCCGCATTGTTGGGACCTGGTCCTCATTGTTGGGACCTGGTCCACATTGTTGGGACCTCCACAGTTTGGACCTGGTCCACATTGTTTGGACCTGGTCCACATTGTTGGGACCTCCACAGTGTTTGGACCTGGTCCACATTGTTGGGACCTCCACAGTGTTTGGACCTGGTCCACATTGTTTGGACCTGGTCCACATTGTTGGGACCTCCACAGTGTTTGGACCTGGTCCACATTGTTGGGACCTGGTCCACATTGTTGGGACCTCCACAGTGTTTGGACCTGGTCCACATTGTTTGGACCTGGTCCACATTGTTGGGACCTCCACAGTGTTTGGACCTGGTCCGCATTGTTTGGACCTGGTCCACATTGTTGGGACCTCCACAGTGTTTGAACCTGGTCCACATTGTTGGGACCTCCACAGTGTTTGGACCTGGTCCACATTGTTGGGACCTGGTCCACATTGTTGGGACCTCCAGAGTGTTTGGACCTGGTCCACATTGTTTGGACCTGGTC